TCTTTGTCTAACCGAAATTTGCTTTAAAGAGGAAATGAAAGAAATCACACAAATCCAGCTGAGACAACTGTATATCAGCAACTGCTTAAGTTATTGATAACAAACAGCTGCTAAAACGCTCAATAAATATGTGAGTTTCCTTAAATGCTTAAAATAGAATTTGTGAATATTTTCTCTTTTTCCATGCACATCTAAAACTCACCTCCCAACTCACTTTTCAACAAACAAGCACAGCTAGAGCCTCTCTTAGTGTCTTATCTCCATCATAAATACATCAACTTTATCTAACACCTATTCACAGCATCCATTGCATCCACTTCAAAGTTGACGACATTTTCCATATAATTTGCCAGTTAAATTTGAACAACTTTCCATAAATTTCAATCGATATTTGCTATTTGATGTCGGCACACGCACCAAATGCAGTTGGAATAGCAGCCACAAGGAGATAAATTACCGCACATAATCCGCTTTCCATTTCGGCCAAAAATACAATTCAATTCAATTCCATTCAAAGCATGGATAGACATACGAGCTACGAACTGCTTCAACTCACTGTAAATGCCTGGGCATCAAATAGTTTGCCATGGCAACTAAATCCAGCTCCCTCTCGCTCAGTCTCTGTCTCTCTGTCTCACTCTTTCTCCATGAAGCTTTAGAAATTCTTTGATGCTGACCGAAAATATTATTGCCAGCTATGCAATGCCAGCAAAACATTTGAATAATGAAATTATTGGCTAATGGCGCAACGAGCCAACTGAATAACCGAGAAGCTCTGATTGCACAACCTTTTCGACATGTTGACTAATTCCAGCTGCAATTTATTACTTCAAATTGTTTCATTCAAATTGCATTTTTTTCTTCTTCTTCTTCTTTTTACCTTGGGTCAAGATTTCTACAGTAATTCTTTACTTTATTTGATTACCACAAAACTTGGCAAGCAACACAAAAGCCAAAAACCAAATGCATATTTGACATTATGTAAATTTGTAGCAGCAACTGCAGCTGCAGCAGACTGCATTGCATAATATCTCACATAGTTGTATAGCAGTGCAAACAGCTCTAGCTGCAAGCACTCGAAATTGTAAAGAAATGTGCCTCAAATCGACGACAATTTTGCATTTTGCACCTTGCCAAAGGCATCAAATCCTCAGACTCAAGATGCAATCATCCATTGAATCTGTTTGCAATCGCAAGATTTGCCTGATGGTGATATATGTGGGAGGGGTATATTGGTTTGAGACAAGGTATGTCTTGAGAGTAGAAAGTAGAGACTAGACAATCGGCATATTTACTCTATCTAGTGTATCCTAGGGCATCTACTGGATCTAGAGATGACAGAATATAGTGTATCTGTCTCTGTGACCTCTTAGTCCTTCTCTTAGCAAATTCTTTGCCCTTGCTATCCATATGAAAAATATATTTTCTATTTTCTATATTCATTCATCTCTCACTATATTTATCTATCATATTCCAAGAACTAAGATTGCAGAGTTGTATAGGCGTAGTAAGCCCCTTATGAAGACTAGCTCTACAAGTAGAGATCGATGGACTGAACAGCCCCGATAATTCGAAATGGCAAGGGGATCAGTTTTTTTTTCGATTTACACATAAATTCAAACTATCGAGAATTACCGATAATGAATTTTTTTCAATAGTATAGAATTTCTTTCGATTTATTGTGATTTTTATTTACAACTTATCGAGACTTGACTGTAGTATTTAGATAGATTATATGTAGATAAACATTTTTCTATGTATTTTTATATTTATTTACCATACTTCTATAACTAAGATCATAAAGTTGTATAATTGAGGCGCAGTAAGCCCCTCCTTTAGATTTCCTTCCATATAAACTTTCTAACCACAGTATATCCCATATAGCCCACATATTTCTATATACTGAACAGGTATTGAGCAGTCGATTATGCTCGCTGGCAACATCTTGCTTCGTTTTTTATTGACACTCAGCAGCTGTGTGCTCTAAGCCGACGGCTGTGTTAGGTTCAACATTTGCAAGCACTCTCGCTCCCTCCCTCCCCCTCTCACACCACCTTCCCTTTCTATATCGATATCTTCTAAGCTGCAATGCAAATATATGCTGTTACGATTCAAGACGATATCACGCACCAGCACACATTCTCCACACTCTCTCTCTCTCCCCCTCTCTTTCTCTCATACACCCACCCACCCACTAGACTAACACTTGTCGCCCACTAAGTGCGCCTCGAATGACAAACATCAATGCGCTGTTTGAAGCTGACAAATAAGCATGACGCGCTAAGGCATCAGGAATCGGGCAACAGCTGCTGCAGCAATAACAGCTACAACCACAGGAGCCACAGAGCCGCAGCCGCCGCCACAGCCTCAACTGAAACAACAACGAGCATAAACAACCACACATACATTTTCAATTAAGCTGCAGCGAGCTGCACACGCGTTCGACTTAAGTCTAATCCCCTGACCAGCAATCTGCCAGCGACATCGGGGCAAACAACAATTTGATGACTTGCTGTCAGCCACGCCCTTAAGGCCACCGACCACCGACCACCGCCCACCGCCATCGACTTTATGAGGGCATAAAACATGCACGCGTTTTAATGCTAGCCCCAAACAATATATACATATATTGTATATAAAAACGACTTGGGACCAATTTAACAGCATTGAATTTTCAAATAGACTTGAAGCAGCAGCAAGCCCGACACGTAGCTCCACAGGGTATATACACTCCGAAAGAAGTACTCCATTATGACACTCGGTCTTATGAAATATGACAAGCGAATCATTTTTCAAAAGCAACAAACGTGTTGAGTCTTAGCGAAAAGTTATTAATATATGTCAACAAAATGTGGTTAAGGCTGGAAAGAGTTTAGGAATTCCTTCCAGTTGAGGGACTTGTTAAATAATATATGATTATATATATGAATATAAATAAATATATGAATATATATAGACTAAACAGTAAAACAAAAAATAAAACAAAATAAATGTAAATAAAAAAATATATAAACATAAATCAGAATATATTTAAAAATAAATATCTATAGACTATAATCATAGCAGGATAGCAGAGTCTGCACGTTCTCTGTTAATGTTGAATATATTATATACCATTTAAAATATACCCCTAAAATGTTACATTCTTTTTAGCATAAGACAAATCGAATTAGATTTCAGCAAAGATGTATATATTTTTTTAAGTTTCATAAAAGTTAACTTACAAAAACCAAGTATACAAAATTTCAATAAAATTAAACTAATGAATAGCGGTCCTACATTCACTTCTAAATAGCTCTCCCAATACGTCATATTTATTATATGGAACACAAATTATAATTTTTAAGAACAAAATAATTATACGAAACGATTATCGTTTGCTTAATGGAGAAAAAATCCAACATTCAAACTTCCTATGATTCCTGGCTGGATCTAAAATTCTCCTGCGTATAATATAATAATAATATATTATATAGTTTTCAATAATTGATGTATTTATCATACGATAGAGACTATATGAAGCCAGAGTGTCTTCTCTATGGAGTATACTATAACTATTGTATATTAGATTATATTTTGTGTTTTTGTATTATTTATTTATTTCGATGAATATCGGCAACCTTGTAGAATTGCCAGATGAGTACCTCGAAAATGGACAGCCCTGTATCAAGAGCTCCTCTACCCACACCCACAGCCACACCCACAGCTATGCCCAGGCACCTTTTCCCGTCCCTTGCTTACCTACTAAACTGCGTTTGACTGTGCCACGTGGCTTGCTGCTGTTGATGGTGACGGCAATTGTTGCCGTTGTCTTTGGCTTCAGTTTGGGCGCCAGCGTCAGCGAAGGCTTCTGCCGTGCCAGCGGCGGCGGCGGCGGCTGCAGCGCTGCTTGCAGCTCCTGCGTGGCGCTGGGCAGCGCCGATGTGGAGACCGAGGTGCTGGAACGCTTATAGCCCTCGGTGAGAAAAGCGGGCGGCGGCGTTATGGGCGGCGCTGGTATGCACATCTTCTCATCCACCGGCGAGCTGGCCGCTGTGCTGGGCGCTGTAATCGATTCGCGCAGACGCAGCCCACCTGGCTTCAGAGTCATGGTGGCTTGGCTGGCACCACTCGCTGCACCACTCTCATTGCAATAGAGCTCCAAGTGATGCTTGTCGCAGCGTCGCCGCCGTCGTATATTTGGCGCAATGGTCTTCATTTTGGGGCCATGCGCCGCTGAGGCGGCCGCAGCCGCCAAACGATTCGAGCTGCCGGACGAAAAGGACGGGCTGCCGTCTTTTGAATTGACGCGTATATAATGTACCCGAAAGATTCGTACAGGTTGCTTAGATTGTGATTGCTGTTGCTGTTGTTGCTGCTGTTGTTGTTGTTGTTGTTGCTGTTGTTGTTGCTGCTTTTGCTGCTGATGTTGCTGTAGATACTCCTTGTAGGTTTGCTTGCGCGGTGTTTGATGACTGCACGCGGTTTCGTATTGCAGCATTGAGAGCTGATATATTGCAGGTGTCAAGTTCTTGTATAATATATATATATTGATTTATATTTATAGAAAATAGTAACTTTATATATTGTGTATATATATTTATATAGATATATATATGTATTTAGATTTATATTTATATATTTATTTGTTAAGAGTTTTTGCGTTTTCAAAAATGGAAGCTTTCAATTGCTGCGTTTGTAACTTTGTTTGCTTTAATTTGTATTATTATTAGAAATTAGTTATATATATATATATATATATATATATATATATGTATCTCTGTCTCTCTCCTTCGCTCTCTCTCTGGCTCTGTCCTTGTCTTTGTTTAGTTGGCTTGGCTTTTGGTTATTAACAAATATTTGCATAGTTTGATTTTTCGTGTTGCTTATTGAATTATTTGCACATTTGTTTGCATATTAATTTGACCAAATATTTATCAATATATATATACATATATTTGTTGTATATATATGTGTATATGTGTGTGTATATATATGTTTTGTTTTTTGTTTAGTTCTGCTTGCACATTTAATAACAATTATTTGCTTTCATTTATTCAAATATATATTTATTTATTAAAAATAGTTCATTGACAACTTGAATTCGAAGCGCTTAGATTTTTTTAAATAATTTATATATATATATTTTTTTTTTTTTTTTTTATATATAGTTTTTAAAATTTAACTTTGTTGTTTTTTTTTTTTTTTGTATATTTTTAGTCAACTCACATCAATGTATTGAAAGCCTTTTGAATATATTAATTATTGATTAATTATTGTTGATTATATTATGTATACATATATATATATATTTTTTTTTTTTGATTAACTTTAAAATATATTAAAATCGTAGTTTTGTTGTTGTTGCTTTTCTTTTTGTATTGTAGATTTCACTTGAAGCAGGAAACAAATTTTTTCTTTATGTTTTTCTCTTTTGTTTTTAGTAACTTTTTTAGAAACTTTTTTATTTCTTTTTTTGTTCGCCTGTAAAATGTTGAGCATTTTCTTTAATTGACTTTTCAAGGCTGGCCAATAAATTCGTGTTGGCAGGCCATGAATGCAAATTTTTACAAAACTTTTGCAACCTCTGTGTGTGTGTGTGTGTGTGTGCCACGCCCCCTTTTCATTTTTGTTGCCGTACTAATCAAACACAAGCCGCAATGCTCATCATTATGTAAATGTTGATTTTTCATAAAATTAATGACTCGACAGCACATTGAGGCAGGACCCAGGACTCAACTCGACTCTGCTCTCTTCTCTTCTCTACTCTTCTCTTCAGAGCTCTTTGCCTACATTGATGTATTGGCATACGACGGCGCCCTATTGATAGCATTGAAACGTGACTGAAATATTCGATTTGATTTTACGATGAGCCCATAAAAAAAAGAAGAAGCGAAATGAGAAAATGGGAGAGAAATGGCCTAGAAATGGGCGTGCCAAGTAGTATAATTAAGCCAATGCCAGCCAAATGGTTCGCTAAGGATCGCCGGGATGCGGGCGTAATGTAATTTTGATGTTTTTTCCAAGCTGCTGCAACAAATTGAATGGAATGAGCAAATACATATACATATACATATATATACACAGAGTATATAAAAATATGTATACATTACAAATACATAAGCAATTCTGTATTCATTTATACAGCTGTCTGAGGAAAAGTCGCATATGCTTCAATGCGATGTCCATCCAATCAGAAATTGCGGCTGCTTTTTTTTCTAAAAGCTGTCAATCGAAGTGGTTGGACGTAGTAGAGTGGAGAGTTGCTCAGAGTATTGAGTGCAACTAAGAGAATACCCTGTAAAACTTATGGAAGTCTGAGTAGTAAAAAAAACATCTTTCAAGACCAAACACTATTAGTAGATATGATTAGATATATACCCTGCAAATTTTATAAATATGTCTAGCTTCATTTTCCACACAATTGAAAGGTACAACATATAACAAATTTCTGTTTTAGTTTTGGAATACTTTCATATTAGTCCAGCGTTACTCTCCAAGAACTCAGGAAAATAATATCAACAATTAAAGCAGAAATAACAAGAAACTTCAGAAAAAAAAATTTCTAAGGCATATTTGAAAGTAAATTACAGTAGAATCGCTCAAGGGACCGTCATCGCAATAACCGTACGGACGCTATAAGCGAAGTCGTTAAAACCAGCATCTATTATATATTCCTCATATTTTTCCAAAAATTTATGAATAATGTTTAAGCACATAAAGACATTATGTATTCCATTTCTTATAAAAAGTATTGCATATAATAGAATAAAACATTTCAAGTTTTCATTTCATTATTTTTCTAATTTTACAGGGTATATATATAAGAAATTCTCATGGTTAAATCATTGCTAAAGACTGCAGCAAGCTTTCATGAAATTAATCTAATTTTCATCTTTCAAAATTGCACCCAATCAACATGCCCTTTACCCAGTTTATAACAGGGCATTTCGAGTATATAAATATTATTCTGATCTGCTCATCGCACGTCAAATTACAAGATCCGCCCAAATCTGACAAGATAATGCGTAATTCTGACAAGCGAAGCACTGCCTACGCCACCCGTTGCGATTACAGGGTATTTAGCTAAAGCTGACACTTGTCAACGCGCCACACATGGCAGCACAGCAACGTCGCGCCACTAATGCAGCCGAGCCAACCGAGCCAGCAAACAGAATTCCATTTGTGGCAGCAATCGAGTTGTGTTCGTAATAAGCCAATCAATTCAGTGTCAGATGAACTGCTTCATTAATTTTGCCACGAGCAGCGAGAGAGGCTAGAAAATATGAAGAAGAGCTAGACAGACAAAGAGACGAACGGAGAGACAGACAGAAAGACAGACAGACAGACAGATAGACAGAACTGAAGTATCCAATAAACGACGCATGCCACAAAAGTCACGTAAGGCTTCAACAGAGAGTTGAGGGCAGAAGCAGGAGGCAGGAGGCGGGGGCGAGGGGCAGGCGTAACTGTTGAGAAATATAAGCCAGCTTAGTCTGAAACAACATTATAGGATGCTTTAGCAGATGGCCGTTGACTTGAGCCAGGGCATAGCTGTGCGTATTATTTATGTAGCTGAGCACAAAGGGCAAGAGAAGAAGGGTGAGGAGGGGGAGAGAAGAGAAGAGTAGAGGAGTGAGACAATAGCTTTGCTCTCAGGTGCGTATTTTAAAAGCAACAACTAAAAAAGGGAAAAAAGTCCGCCAAATAATATTTCAAATGTAGAGGCATTTGTAAAGAAAGAGACAGAGAGATAGAGAGAGAGAGAGAGAGGGGGAGAGAAGGCGAGTGAGTCTGAGTCGGGTGGCGCGTAATGGCCGCTCGTTAGTTGGCATTGGGGAGTGGCACAAATTGACCAAGGATAATAGCCAGGCAATAGGCAGGCAAAGCCAAGAACCAAAAATGCCAAAAGAAGAAACTGTTATACATACATATATCAAGTGTGCGCATCGCACGTGTGTGTGCGTGTGTGTGTGTGTGCATGTGTGCGTGTAGGCTGCTCTGCCTTAACACTAATTGTAAAAGTTTTGGGCCTCATGTCAATTTGCACAGACTACGCAAGTTGTTTATTTTTTTGCTTTATTTGGCTATTTACTTTGGCTCAACTCAACTCAACTAAAACTTCTAATTGAATAGAATTTTCGAACACACATACTCATATGCGCGCGTGTGTGCGGAAATTGAAACAAGTTGCCTTTCAGCCATGTTTGCCCATTCGAAAAGCACTTGAATTAGCTAATACTTTGTTATTTGTCTTTTGACAACTTGCAAGGATTTGATGTGAATAGAGTAAATATTATGAATATAATAAGAAACTAGCGAAACAGTTTTAATTGAGTGCAAGGCAAGCTAAACAAGCTTAACAGCAAATAAAATCATATGACAGGTAAACGTGGAACTATTTAAGATTGCTTCGCTTAAAAGACAATCAATAATTTTTGCTTAACTCTCAAAGCTGCTTGCAGACTGACTTTTAATACATATGCGAAATTATTCGATAAATATCTTAGCTCAAATTTGCATCCATATTGGAGGAGCTGGAATATCTTGTGTTTTGATTGTTTGTTTTTATAAGAAAGCCATAGATTTTGTTATTGTTTGGTTTGTCTATAAAAAGCCAGCTAAAATCAATATATGAGCATCATAAAAATAAGCAAACATCATCAATCAGATTCAGTTAACTAAAACGCTCACTTGCCTAGAGAATAGAAGAAAATAAAAATAAAAATAATATCTTCTTTTATTATTTTTGTTTTTTTTTTTTTTTTTTTTTTTTTTTATGTTTTTTTAATTAATTTTTTAAGGTAATTTTTTAAATTAATTTCTTGAATTAATTTAAAAAAAATTTTTTTATTTAATCTAATTTTTTTAAATTAATTTCTTAAATTAATATTTAAAAAATTTTTTTAATTTAATCTAATTTTTTTTTTTTTAATTTTTATCTTTGGTTTTATTTATTTAATTTTTTTTTTTTTTTTTTTTTTTGCCTAAAGAAAGTTAGTTTGGAGTTAAAGTAACTCAATTTGTTAAATATTAGTAAAGTAATTAAGACTTTCAGATATTTGGTACCATAAAGTATTCACTAATAAATAATTTGCTTTCAATATAAGGCCTACGCTTATAGCTTTCTTTCGGTTATTGCGACAAAAATTCGATGTTTTGGATGGTCTCAATACAAACAAATATATACAAACTTATATGAAAAGGGCTTCTATTAGTTATAACGATTTAGTTATAATTAATTAGTTATAACGATTTAAAAGCTTCGGTCCCTCGAGCGTCATTATAATTGAATTTTACTGTATTCAGAAATTTTAGTTTTAGTGCAACTTTAAAATGTCTTATTTATAAAACTGCACTAATATTTAATTATTTGAAATGTTATATATTCACTCGAAATTATATTGAATAATCTAAACCGCTCTGACTGCATAATATATATGACATATGGTTTATTAAAGTCAGTCTAAGGCAGCAATTCTCCACTCACATAGCTGTACAAGGGTAATTCAAATTATTTATGTTCAAGTAAAATCTCAACAAATTAAAATTTTTAAATATTTTTGCCTTTACTCTGCATTTAATAAATATTTTATGTCCCATAACATTTTAAAGGTTATGAAATATATAGCCAAATAAAACAGATATTTAAACATCGTGAATCAAAAATTAAAAATTGAAAATTGAAAATGCAAATAAAAACAACAGCAAGCCACAAATTGAATTAAGTAATCTCATTTTGTAGAGTAAACAAAAAATTGCACACACGGATTAAATAGATATTTTACTATATACTATATATATTTATCTGCGCTGCATTGCTCTTTAACTTAATTAACACGAATTTATATATATTTATATACTACATGTGACTTTTTTAAGCGAATTAATGTGGCAATTAAAAAAGGCAACCTCGCAATTAATTGATTGAGTTAAGGCGGACCAGCAGATCTTGCACGCTTACAAAAAGAGCTTAACACGCATGTAAATGTGTGTGAGTGTGTGTGAGTGTATATATGTTAAATGTGTGTGTGTGTGTAAACATGTCACATAATAAAAATTAATGCCCTGGCACGCATTTCGTTGAGCACCTTGACTTTGTGCCTTGGCCACAGTCAATGCACTTGCCACACTTGACAATGCTAATAATGAGTAGAAGAATGATGATGATGATGATGCTGACGATGAGTAGGCTAATGATATGGTTGCTGTTGTTGCTCTGTACTATTTTCTGGCATACTTTTAGCGCTCAAATATGTTGAGTGAGTGCCGCCGGAGAACGCGCTCTTTGACAAAAACAAATTTTCGCTTTCATTCACGGCCAATGGCAAAATTTCAATTTCGTTAAGATATATATTTTAGATTTGTTGTTTTTGTTGTTTTTTTTAGATATTTGGCTTTGGTTGTGGGCGTCGCGTTGATATACTTTTTATTTGTTCGGCCAAATCATAAACATTAACCACATAAATTCCAAAGCATAAATATAAATTAACTTTACACGTACACACACACACAGAGAGAGAATTGCAAATGTTTTGGCAATTTAACAGCTCGTAAAAGAACGTATTGAAAAAAAATAGTTTGGGTGTTTAAAAATAAAAACGGAAATCAAAATAAATCAAGCTGGAAAACGAACCAATTTGGGCAGGGCGGGGATTGGGGAGAACTTAATCAAAACGAAAAAGAACAACGCGTTCGAATTGTCTTTTATATCACATCACAAATGTTTTGGCATTCAACTATAAACATAGCCAACTTTTATTTGTTTTTAATTTAAAAAATTTGCAATTTGCACGTTCTTTGACCACGGTACGTCGCTGTCCACGATCTGTCTTTGGTTAGCTGTGTCTCTGGCTCTGTCTCTGTTTGGTCTCTACGGCGAGTGCGGCCGACGCGTCTGAGTATTGCCAACAAACTGATGCCAAACGGAAGCCGTCCAAACGCTTTTCATGACAAACACTCTCGACCGTGTCGATGCGGCGCACAGCAGCCCAACCAAACAGCGACTGCGACGGTGACTGTGGCGACGGCAGCAGCGCCAACGGCAGCAGCAGCAGCAGCGACAGCAACTGATAAGCAAAAGAGAGCTTTTTCATCCACGCGAATTGTGTAAACAGAAAGAGAATTTCTGCTCTCTTAAGAGAAAGCACTTGAAGTTTGCCCAACTATTAGTAACAGTTTAACGGCCTAGACAATGAAGCCGTTAACTAATTATTTATGCTAGTCTGAAGTGGACATGAAACTCTGACTTTTCACTAGAATTCTATGGACTTAACTAACTTTAGCCTTAGCCTTATAATTAAAGCTTATTATAAGAAACGTTATAAAAGTGTATAAGGGTAAAAATTAAAATTATGTGAATCTCATAGAGAGGCGTTATATGAAAGTAATTAAACTTTTATATATTTAAACGTTATGCTTTAAATATATATTCTTTAAATATGTATATGTCTGTATATAATAAAAATCTACTTAAATTAAGCTGAAGCACCTAGAATAATATTCACATTTATATTCAGAACGCAAATTAATCTCCGAAATGTTTAAATATTTCTTCTTAACACATTTAGCAAAATGTTTTTTGTTAATGTCTGCTTTGATATAGCCATTTGGCAGCTATAGCTTTTTTAATAGTAGCTATAGCTATTATTCTAGAAAATCTATAATTCCAACAGTTTTAAAACAAAGTCTATAGAGGCTCAAAGAAAATATATAAATGTTATAAAAACTGAATAAAAAATATCAAAATACAGTGTTACATATATACTTTATATAATTTTTATATATAAGTAACATATACAATATATAATCAATGCCATTTTTTCGTAAATTTTAAAATTTTATTTAGTTTTTAAAAGACAAAAAAAGTAAATCAAGTAATAGTAATAATTAACAATAAATAATAATAATAATAAATATACATAAGAAAATTCACATGCCTTAATCGAATGCTTCTTCAATGTGCAACACTGTAAAAAGTGCTTCTAAGAATCATTATATTAGCAATGAGTCATTAGAGTATTTTACAGAATATTTACAAAATATTTCACTTCAAAAATAAATTGACAAAGTTTTAAAATTTGCTGTCGTACAATAACAACATATATTCGTAGTTTATATCATTCTTATTTTCACTCAAAGTTCTTACAGCATTGAAATGCCTGAACGTTCGAGTGTAGCTAACAAAAGCTTTACATCTTTCTATCTCTCCCACTCTCCATCTCGTTCTGTCCGCTGCTCTGCCTTTTGCTTACAAACTTTCTCTTCATGCATGCGTGAGCGAGCTTTTGTGCAACGCGCCATTAAACACTTTTGCTCTTTCAATCGCACGCTCCATCACTCTCAGACTGCTCTCCATCTCACTCACGCCCTCTCTCTCGCTCTTTTGCTTGTCAATGTGTGGGTTTTGTTTATGCTAGGCCTGTTTGTTTGCCCGGCTACACGCACACACACAAACGCATATACACCCACACACACTCTTCTGCATGTGCTGTTTATGCATAAAGTGCGATTGAAATCAACCAAAAACTAAACTTTGTACGGAAGCTGGGAGGGGTTCGAACCTGTAGCTCGAGACTGGGATTATGTGCGTCAATGCAACCAGCGTCATTGCCATGGCCAACTGTATGTGTATGTGTGTGTGTGTGTGTGCGTGTCCCTGATGCGAGTCTGTGTGTGTGTGTGTGTGCGTGTCCCTGATGCGAGTCTGTGTCTATGTGTGCGTGTCTGTTGCCTGTTGCACATTTTGGTAAACATATTTTGCGCTGGCCAAAAGCAAAAGAAGTTCCGAGTCTTAATTGAAAAGCAGATCAAAGCGAAAACAACAAATTATGCTTATTACATTATATGTAATTAGTTAAGAAGCATAAACTAAAGACAAATGAAAAGAGAGTGGGAGGCAGAGAGAGGGAGAGAATGAGACTACAAATTAGCCAGCAGCCATTCAGTTACCATTAGCAACGCCTGTAAGCATACAATGCTTTTTATTTATACACAATTAGCTGGCCCTCTCCTGGCACTGCCAGCTCTCTCTCTCTCTCTATCTGTCTCTCCCTCTCTCTCTCTAACTCTGTCGGTCACATTTCAATGCACATAGCGCAAGTTGACTATGTGATGGCAACGCTTCAAAGCCATAACTTGAGCATTTCCATTGGAATGCCTTTTGGCATGCCTCTACTTCTCCTCCGCCTACTTCTTTCAATGCTCGTTCAGCAGATGGCAAGAGAGTATATTGGTTTTGTGAGATTTTATATATAGAATATAGACGGATAAATTGAAGCATCCGAAAAATATACAAAATTCTTCAGCTGTTTCAAGATTTCATAGAACATGAAATATCTTATTTTAGCACGTAAGCTTTACAGATCGACCTATATACCTATAAATAACATTTATATACATTAAGGATAGGTAAATCGCTGAGATATAGAGCAGGATATATGATATATTATGATGTGAGCCACTTGCTACTTTAAAGAGCTATACATGTTATGATCCATCCATTAAGCTATGCTATATCCCATAAAATACCTATAAGCTTGCATTCCTCTCACAGCTTAAACGAGCATTATAAAGTCGTTTACCTTCCACTATCAGCTACTTGCGCGTCTCTCTCTCTCTCTCTCTCTCTCTCTCTCTCTCTCTCTCCCTCTCTTCCACCTCTATCTCTATTTTTTTCAGTCAGTCAGTGCCAATGTCATATCAGGCGACTTCCTGTGTCCCTGTACCTGCCACGCCTCTCAGCTCGCTCAATGCCAACCCGCCGCATTGTCAACACTTCATTGCAGCTCTTTCTCGCCCCACGCCCTCGCCCATTTCTTTCATTCTTTTATTATTTATTTCTGGGTAAACGTTTTTCATTTGCAATCAGACGCTCTGTGTGTGTATTATGTATTTACATTCTCTGACGGGACGTCTGCCAAAAGGATGTGGCCCCAGCACGAAGGTCGTTCATTTAGTTGCCGCTAAAAATAACAATCCGACTCTGTCCCTGGCCATGATTGTGCTTCCTGTCGCATGCAAAGGCCAAGAACTGACAGCAACAACAACAACAACAACAGCTGAAGGGCGGCATAAGTATTACCTATTATTACAGATTATTTGAAGTTTAATGTGCTCTAATCCCTGCATTTGACTAGATATACATATTCCACGTGGGTTTTCTGTGGGTGTTTTCCCACTTAGTTTGTAATGCTTTACCTTTTTGGGTTTTTGCATGGGCGTCTGTCCTTAAGCTAGGTCAATTTGAATTTTTGATATACCTAAAGGTTAACTATGAATGAATAGTTTAAAGAAAACAGTTTATTTCCAGCATCAATGAACTGGGATATAGAGTGTAATTCAGTTTAAATTTGTTATCTTTAGGATGGTGAGACAAACTGTACAATAAGTATTTGTATAGTTAACGATCTATATTTAAAAAATTATATTATAATATTATATTATTTAAGATATAAAAAAAAAATATAAAAAAATATTGAAAAAATTTCCTTTATATATATATAATCAATATATCTATTTTAATTCCTTAACTAGACTCTTAAACTTTAATTAGACTAGACTAGTCTCTACTCCTTCTATATATGTATATAAGTCTGCTAATTGAGAATAGTTTAGATTGTATAAAAATTCTTTAACTATCTATAAAAACGTTATGGTTTATAAAAAGTAATACGCATATTTATAGCAACACTCATATGCCATAAACAAACAACAACAAATTCCTCGGAATGTAAGAGGATTTTGTTGTGGTCAAAAATATCTTTAAACACTTAATTATTAACGACCTTATATGAATGTCAAAATGGAGTCACACAAGGGCGCGTGTGTTAGTTTTCTGTGCGTGTGCGTGTGCGTGTGTGTGTGTGTGTGTGAGTGAAGCACAACAAATAGCCGCAGGCTCAACAAAATTAAGATAATGCCGAATATTGTGCGAAGCTGCAAGTTCACTGGGGACGCAACAACTGCCAAGATACGCAAACGCAGGACCTTCAGGGTCAAATGAATTTGTTTTGCCACAAGAAGGAGAGCAGCAGTAGCAGTAGTAGCAACAATATGACAAATAAAAACAAATATAAATACAGATACAATTTTGTATGTGTGTATGGTTTTTTCTGTTTTTTCTTGTCTTTGGGGTAGTATAGTTTATGAGTTTGCCGACAGTGTGCACAGGATAACGACTGGCCCGAAAATATGCGAGCGAGCAGCCATCCAAAATGCCGGAGAAAGAATGGCGTCCTTCCGTTCCAGTTGCTGTTGTTGTTGTTGTTGTTGTTGTTGTCCTGTCATTGACAAGCCAAAAGCGATGGCAAACAAAGACAACGCCGAATAACAACAGATAGATAGCAACAGACCACAGGCAACAACAACAAAAACAACCACAGCAACGACAACAACAACAACAACAAGGACAACAGCAAAAAGGATGACCGCGGGCTCAAAAATTCCAAGGCAAATGAAAAATAAATACCAGAAAGATACAAAACAACGACAAAAACGACAGCAAATGGCAGCAATGCAATTGAAAATTTTGCGGTAAAAAAAAAAAAACAACAACAACAAAGAATGCACGCAGCATGGATAATACAAAAAGAGAGAGAGAAAGAGAGCGCGCGAGAATTCAACAAACCGCAAATAATAAAAGAATAAAAATATAAAAAAAAAAATACCGTTGCTTACATAATCACAGAAAAAGCAGGCGGCAAGACGATTGGCTGCTGCAGCGGGCTTGAGAGCAGAGGAGGGCAGCGGCGGTGCGAGAGAGAGTGCCCAGCACGTGTTTGTCTCACAGGCAACCTAACTGTATAAATGTACGAGTGTGTTTGTGTGTGAGCAGCCTGCGCCTTGAAGCTGAACTTGTGCTATTCAATGTTTTTACTTGAACTTGAACATAAGCGCGTGCTGGCATGCTCACTCGCTTACTCACATGCCGTCCACACGCTCTATCTCACTCACTCACTCACCCACTCACACACATAGTCACACGTTCGCTCGCTCTCTTTGTATTTTGCACATACGACGCGTGGCACGTGCTTAAAGCTTTTGTGCTTTTCGCGCGCTCTCTTCTGCTGGCGGCTCTCTCACTCTCTCTTAACAACATTTGCTTTATTTTCTTTGCTTTTTTGATGGGCGTCATTAAAAATGCGAGTGACGCAAGTGATAAAAAATTAATGCAAAGAGAGCGGAACAAGAACAACAACATCGACGACAACAGGCAGCAGCCAAAAACTATTTAGCATCTTGATGATAATATTTTTGGGGCCGTAAGTTGAGCGTTTTTTGCATGAAGCTAACAGGTTGAATGGTCCGCCCCTAAAAGGCGACAACACGAAAGTAGATAACAATTAAACTTTGTCCAAAATGGCGTGGCAAATGGTGCAATCTGAAATGGGCGTCTAAGCGACGCTGATGAACTAGACGAATACCCTGTAGGTAACTAAAATTTGTGTCCTGAAGGGAAATTCTTATAGAAGAGATCATATGTGAATTAATATTAGAATTATTGGGAGTGCTTACGGAACTTGGAAATACCCTGTACTTAAATCTTTCACTATTCAATATTTGAGATAATTTTTGATATTTGAAGAGAGGAAACATATGTACATAATATATGATGAGCTCTCTCAGCTTTCCTCAGAAACTTTAACCTTTCAAGTGCTACAATAAAACCTTATTTACTGCCACATCTCGATTTCATTTGCACTACATACTATGTATATACAACCTTAGCCTAGTTTCTGAGAG